ATTAAGGAAGTTTTCCAAGCTTCCCCCAAGTCAGTATTTTATCAAATCTATTTCCCTAACTGCTTACTTTTCCATACTGCATAACGATTTTCAAACATTTTTTCAGGGCCTATTTCCTTTTCTATAAAGCAATTATTTATTAGATTTCATCTAATTTAGGAAAGCCATAGCATTTCTTTGAGCACATAAGGGTAGAATTTGAGGTCTAAGCACACACAGTCTGTTTTTATTAGTACAGTACTTTGACTATTCAGGGTATACGAATGACTAAAATTTACATAACTCAAAGAAATAAGGCAAAGATGGCCAGTTTGGATGCAAAAATTACTTTGCCCAGATTCAAAAAAGATAGAAATTATTAAAAACAACCACAATAACGAAATCAATTGCTAATGACCAGATGACAGAAGAGCACAATATTAATGCATTGTGGGCATCATTATAACCCTCAACATATGTGCTCTCTCTCTTCCTTTCCTATGTGTACTTTTTATAGATCTCTAAATTGTTTTAGAATATTTATTCCTTCAGTGTCCCCTGAACCTCAGGTTCATTGCGTGGGAGTAAAAAATTTGTATGCCACTGAGAACGAAGATTTGGAAAGGGGAAAATAAGAATGGGCAAGCCAAGGCATGCCTTTAGAATTTGTCAGGAATGCATAAGCTTATCTATTCCCCAGAAATTATTATAGAAGATTTATAATTGGTATCCATCATTATACTGTGGCTTATTATCTGTTAGCTTTATAACCTAATAATTATTAAGCTCTTATCAGAGTTAGTGAATGTTTATTATGGAATGTCAAAGCTTAGAATTCTGCAGGAAGCGCTTTCTGTGTATTAACATGTTTCTTAATGTTAATATCCTCCCAAGAAATTTTAAAAGAGAACTAAGATGAATATTAGGTTTTAATTTGGGCCACAAATAAGTCCTCATTTCAACAAGTTCCACAGCTCCCTAGAGCTAAGGACTTGAAGGCAGTTCTAGGATATCATATTTCAAAAGTAGCACAGGGCTTAGCTGCAAAAGCAATAAAGTGGTTTTATCTGAGATGCATGCAACATCAGGAATAACACTGTTATCCAGAAGTAATTAAGTGGTAGGCACCAGTCTATGTTGTAGCTAAGCAGGCCAGCTTGATTGTTAAGGCAAACCTGCCCACTCCACTTATGTTGACATTTGTACAGATGAGAAGAAATTTGTGGTATGAGATCAATAAAGAAGTAATTAAAAGTAAAAGGCTCTTAATGATTGTAAATGAAGCTGAGAACACAAACTTGGATCTCAGTCCCCCGGAGTTATGGCTCTGGGGCCATGGTCTGTTAACATCTGCTTCTTGGGAAGGAATGTTTTTCTTTCAAAATAACAGTGTTACGTGAATCAATGGCTTCCAAAGGAACTATTTCCTTAGGTCTCAGACTTGGAAAATCTCATTGATCTTTGGTGAAATCTCAGTTATATAAGTAAGAAGTTATTTTTAAAGCCATACCAGATGCTACAGTTCCTCCCCATTGCTCCCACATGGATGTGCACTGCTTATTCAGAATTGAGCCAAAAGCTAGCTCGGAAATAAGAAAGTTAAGCAAGACTTCTTGACAAACCAAGAGAATAGATTTACATGCAATGGATCTGTAAATATTCCTTTTAGTTTTATTACTTGACTGCTGGCTTTTCAGCTGCACACACACACACACACATACACACACACACACACACACACAAACCTTTAAGCAGCACCAGATTTTTGTTATGGAACTGACAGCGGGATTTCTTCTCAATTTAAATCATTTTTACAGTCTCTGTAATGAGACCAAAACACTAACAGATAAAGTACAGCCCTAGCTCATCAATTTTCCAGAAAAAAAGTAAAGTAGTCCCTGCTGTCAGAAAGAGTCCTTGGTAACATAAAAGCTGTAATTGATTTAGTCAAATTGGAACTCAAATTAAAAGGGATTCTTAGGGCCATGCTGTATCCACAGATTAAAGGGTTCTTTCTACCATGTTTAATTTCTTCTATAATGAGATTAAAATTTGATCAATAGTAAATGAAGCTAAAGAAGTCCACAATTAGCAGATTTCACTGAGAAAGTCAGTCTCTAACTTTATTTGGGGTATGTCCCAGATGAATGTCAAAACTTGTCATACATTTGTTTCATGTTTCTCCCAACAATGTATTTGTTCACTGCTGTAACCTTAGTACCTAGAAGAGCAGTAGGTACTTTTCTAGGAAGTGACAACAAATGAATGGAATGAGGAACTATGCCTGTTATCAGTACAATCTCAATTTTTACAGCCCTAACTAGTTGTTTTTTAATAAGTCAGTTGGTGAGTATCCTTGCCTGTATTAGCCATCATATCTTTCTCTGCTATGACAGATTGTCATATTATTGCCCCAGGCATACATACTGGGATTAATAAACTTATCTAATATTATAATTTACCTTCTGTTTTCATGTAGAGCTACTAGTATTGTAATTTGTCAGATTTTCATGTAGAACTACCACTGGATCTTTAACCAAAACTGGTAACTCCTTTGCTTAAATTATCTGATGCCTTCATAAAGCATAGGCTAAGTGTCAACCTCTTTTACCAGACACCAGGCCATGCGTGATTAAGCTTTTGTTTCTATTTTAAACCTTATCTCCCACCACTCCATCACAGTCTCTCTGCTGATGATCATTCCCACTTTAGTAATTCTGGCTTTCAGTAGTGACCCAGAAGCTTCTGTCACATTAGCCTTCCTGTGATAACACTTAGAAGCTTCAGGAAAAGATGCTGTTTGAAGACACTGTGAAGTGACAAAATTGGCATCAACCAACTTTGAGAGAAGAGAAGCACATAGTAGAAATCCACATTTACATGCTTTTCCTCCACGACAGCCCCGGACTAGAGCTTAGGGCAGACAGAGCTCGAGCAAGATAGCTCGAGCTTGCAGGATCAGAGGGCAAAAAAGGAGCCGCCTGAATGGCTGGATGTAAACGGGTTATTGTGGAAAGGGTTTCTCCAAGTCCATGTGTAACCCCGTTCAGAGCCTTGCCTGAGTTCTACACTTAAGCTTTGTAGAGTGAGACTCCAGGAGCTTAGGGGAAAGCAAGAGTAATTGAAGCTCTGCCAATTTAAAGTGGCCTGATAAATACCCCAAGATTTTCATTAAAATTCCAGAAGAAATAGATTTTAGGATTAAAGACTACAAATCAGGGCTAAGTGATTCACTAGTATTTAACTATCTGATGAGGAGAACATTATACTCTCTGGAAGATTAAATTAAAGATTAAATCAAATTTCTATAGCATATTAATATAATACCCAATATGCAATAAAATTACTAGACATATGAACAAGTAGGGAAAATATGATCTGTGGTCAAGAGAAAAAAGTTAATAGACAAATACATACAGGTGTTACAATTAACAGGCAACTTCAAAATAATCATAATAAACACATGAGAGAACCTGAAAGAAAAATCAGATATAATGACTGAAGAGATTAGTGAATTTCAAGAAACATATAGAAAGTCTTTTTTATTTATTTTATTTTTTATTTTAAAAATTTAAAAAACTGACAAAACAACAATGAAGACAAAATCAAAACAACACAAAAACAACAAAAATGGTACATGACCTTAAGACAAAATGATAGAAATGTACAGTGGTTGCTAAATTACATAATGTTATCTTCAACGAAGTTGCTCAGTCCATTAAGCATAAGAATGTAAGATTGATCAATCAAGGACAGTAACAAGTAAGCAAAAAATAAAAATAATTTAAAAATCTTTGGAAATAATTCAGTGCTTTACCATGCAAAATGGTAGGAGTTCAACAATGGTTCTTAAAC